ACTCAGCCATAAGAAACGATGAAATCCAGCCATTTGTGACAACATGGATGGACTTTGAGGGTATTATGCAAAGTGAAATAAGTCAGAGGGAGAAGATCAAATACTGTATGATTTCCTTCATTAAGTAGTGGATAATAACAACAATAAACAAACACATAGAAACAGAGATTGGATTGGTGGTTACCAGAGGGGAAGGGGTGGGGACGAGGGCAAAAGGGATAATTTGGCACATGTGAGTGGTGATGGGTTGTAGTTAGTATTTGGGTGGTGAACATGATGTAATCTATGCAGAAATAGAAGTATAATGATGTACACCTGAAACTTATGCAATGTTATAAACCAATGTTACTGTAATAAACAAAAAATAAAAAAAAAAGATAATAAAACTAGAATTCAACAATAAAAAGATATTGTCTGAGTAAATCTATACTGAAATAAAAAATCTCATCTAAAAAATCCTTGGATGAAAGAGACCATTAAAAGTGAAAAGAATAATTTATATAATAATGAAAGCAAAAGCAAATTACATTGAAAACTATGCAACAGTTTTAAATATAATTAAAGAAAAAACAGAAAATAAACTAACCAAGCACTCAACATATGAATTCAGAAACAAAACGTTAACAAAATCAGAAGATCGTGGGAAATAAATTAAAATAATTATGTAGATGTGTAAACGTATATGCAGATATCATATTAGTGAATATAATGTGTGTATTTACATATTGATTTAGTAGTACTGTATTTATGAGTTGCAATTTTCAGCACATATAAGCAAAACAAAACCAGAACAGCAAACCCATGTAACACCTAGAATTCACATCATACGCTAATATGGAACTCAAAATTCTAATGGCATGAAATCAAACACTTGGCAAATTTAGTTAAGTAACAAAAATAGGAAAAAATTCTGGGGATTAAAAATAGAAAGTATACATAACTACAGACATTGAAAGAATTAAATTATTATAAGACATCTTTTATGTCATTCCATGGCAAAAATTTTTCAAATCTAGAGGAAAATAAGGATTTTCAATCAATATATAAGTTGTAAAAATGATCCAAGAACATAAATATAAAGTAATGAGACCAATAAGCATAAGTAATACTGGAAATTTTATCAAACATTTATTACTAAGACCCCCCTGACGAGATAAATTACAGCAACTATGTTACATTTTTTTTAATTTTTATTTTTTGCTTCCTGATGGAATCATTAATGTTTGTATGATTAAGGCTATTATTGGTATAATATTTTGTACCATTCCTTTGTACAATTATTTGGGCAAAACCAATAACTTATGTTACTATAGCACTTCCAATACTCGTTTGCAAAGATTGGACAGTGGCAAACTTGATTATGATTTGGAGAAAACAAAGAACATAGAACATTAAATAGGCTCTCTCTTTCTTCCTTCTCCAGATATATAAATGAATATACAGATATTCATATATATTTGCAGATATTATATTATATTAATACATTTAATGTGTGTATTAATTTAGTAGTACTGTATTTATGACTTGCAATTTTGAATACACATAAGCAAAACAAAACATGAAAAACAAACCTATGTAATAAATAGATATCATACCATAAAATGATTACATAGGAATATGAAAAATCTATATTGACTTTAAAATTTATTTTAAAAGAATCTGTTGATTTTAAAAAAAGAGAAAACAGAGCCAGCCCTGATGGCCTCCCAGTTAAAGTTCGGCACTCTCCACTTCAGCAAGCCGGGTTCAGTTCCCAGGTGCAGAACCACACCACTCATCTGTCAGGCAGCAGCTCACATAGAAGAAACAGGAGAACTTACAACTATACACAACTATGTACCGGGGCTTTAGGGGGAAAAAGGAAGGAAAAAGGAGGAAAATTGGCAACAGACGTTAGCTTAGGGGAAATCTTCCCCTGCAAAAAAAAAAAAAAAGAGAGAGAGAAGGAGAAAGCATATTCACAGCCTATACATTAAAAAAGAGAGAGAGAGAACAAACTTTAATCTTCAAAACTTTTAGATGCCTTTAGTTGAAATTATTCCATAACAAATTATTGAAAATATTGCTTTTGGTCTATTCTATAGTTTTATGGATGGCTGGAGGTCAAGGAAAAGATATTTTTCTCAACAATATCGTTTTCACAGCATTTTTCACGTCCCTATTCATTAGACTATAAATGAGAGGATTCAACATAGGAATGATAAGAGTATAGAACACAGCTATAATCTTGATTTTCTCTGGTGAGGAGATGGCCCCAGGTTGGGCATACATAAAGAACACAGTTCCGTAGAATAAACTCACCACAGTGATGTGACAGCTGCAGGTGGAGAAGGTCTTACTCCTGCCGTGGGTTGAGGGAATCTTCAGGACAGTGGAGAGGATAGAAGCATAGGACACCAGAATGCCAGTTGTGGTGGTGATGATGATGAGAGTGGATAGAATATACAGTACAATCTCATTCACGGATGTGTCAGCACATGAGAACCTTCATCAGGCTGGGACATCACAGAAAAAGTGGTCCAGTCTGTTTTCTCCACAGAAACGCAAACTCAAGGTGAAACCTGTTTGTATCATAGAGTTAATGCATCCACAGATATAGGATGCCATCACCAAACGAACACAAGCCTGCTGAGACATACGTACAGCATAGAGGAAAGGCGAGCAAATGGCTGAGAAGCGATCATATGCCATCACAGCTAGAAGAAAGCCTTCAGTCCCAACACAGAGAGCAAAGAAAAAGAACTGTGCTGCACAGCAATTGTAAGAAATTTTCTTGTCCTTGGATAAGAAAACAGCCAGAGTTTTGGGAGCAATGACTGTAGAGTAGCAAAGATCTAAATAGGACAAATTTCTGAGAAAGAAATACATAGGTGTGTGAAGTCTGGAGTCTATTTTAATGACAACTAACATGCTGATATTTCCCACAACAATGACCATGTAGATTAGCAAGAAGAGCGAGAATAAGAGAATCTGTACTTCTGGAGACGTTCTGAACCCCAGCAGAATAAACTCAGTCACCTCTGAGTAATTGTTATTTGGCTCACTCTTCATAGCTGAGACCTATCTGAGAAAATGAGTGGATGATCAAGAAGCCTGTGGAAAGCCTTGCCAACTTTTGGTTCCTGAAGTTCCCAGTAAGAGAAAAAAAATGCTAATAGAAAATGAGGTTTTCTTGGCAACACATCCGACAGAATGCTTTACATTTGGAAGTACTCAAATACACTACATATAATTTTTTTAATATGTATTGTGTTACTCTGCTACGGGAAATGTGGATGGGACAGTGAGGTCATCGGTCGTTTTATAGAGCTCTGGAATCAGATGGACCGAGTCCAAATTTTACCTCTTTCAGTCTAAAAGAACCTAAGAAAACTTCCTACACTTTCAATGCCTTGAAGTCCTCTTCTGTCAAATGGAAGATACTAATATCTGCTTTATACGACTGTTGTGAGGATAACATGAAACTGAGTAAGAAAACCAATATTTACTTTCAGTTAATAGAACATCTTAAAAGCATAATAAATGTTAGTCAGAAAAAAATAAACAAACAAGCACCTAAAAAATTATTTTTGCTTTAGGAATGGAAAATTGGGTGAAAATATAAAACAATTCCTTTTACCACCACAAAATGCAGTTAATCTGGCTGTCTTAAAACATTCTGCTATTTAAAAGACATTAGGAAAGATGGGATTACTGCTTCATGAGGGAGAATGAAGCCTCAGTCTTAGAGAAAGTCATCTGAAATGAGAAATCAAACTCTTACCTCCTACACTAACCATACACTGTTCAACCTCCACCGCCTACTTCAGAACAGCAAATCTCTGATTGCCGGCAGCTTTGCTCCCTTGTTGGCAGCCAAACTCCAGCACATCTTTTTCATTTTACTGTCAGACATTTACATCTTAGAGACGTGAATTTTTCTGTTTATATAGGAGCATTGTGGTTGAAGTACAAGACTAACCTCTCCAACAAGAAGTGGTTTTTCCTTGCACATGTTGTTAATTAAAGTGAAGACGTTAATGCAAATAAAAAGGGCAAAAAAGATCTGTATTACATAGGTTTTGCTCCATGCTTTTTTAAGTAACTATCAATCTTAATATCAAACACTAGGGCCGGCCCCGTGGCTTAGCGGTTAAGTGCGTGCGCTCCGCTGCTGGCGGCCAGGGTTCGGATCCCGGGCGCGCACCGACGCACTGCTTCTCCGGCCATGCTGAGGCCACGTCCCACATACAGCAACTAGAAGGATGTGCAGCTATGACATGCAACTATCTGCTGGGGCTTTGGGGGAAAAATAAATAAATGAAAAAAAATTAAACACTAAAAAGGCATGCAGATAAATTACTAATAATTTTTAAGATATCTGAAAAATTAAGCCCAACTGGAAAAGATTTTTATATTATAATTCTGTGGTTCCATCACTATATTTAATTTCTGAACAACAGTGAAAAAGTCCTTCTCGTCAAGGAACTTAATATTGTATTTGAAGTAATATTGTATTTTTATTTAGAAATTTTCATAAATTTAAAAGTACAATAGAGTCCAAGGAAGTGAAACTAATTATCATAGCTTCTGTTACTATTTTTGTGAATTCAAAGTGTTTTACTAGTTAAAAGCATGGCATTTTAATTCACATAAATCTGAGTTTTAAGCCATGTTCTGCCACTCACAAGCAGGTAATCTTGGGAAAATTGTTCAAATCCATGAGCCTCTGTTCTCTCATCAGCAAAATATGTCTTAGAACATCTACCAAACAGGATTGCTGTTGTAAGGATTAGACTCAATCACATACATGAATTAAAAGAAATATTTAGCACCTGGGAAATAGAAAGTGCTCAATAAATAATGGATATATGAGAGATTGAACAGGAAAAAAAGATAATTTTTTGCTTAATTAAGAAAATTATCTTCAGAAAAGGTTATGATTTTTAAAAAACAGATACGTTTTGTGAGATCTAGCAGATTCTGAAAGAACCTTCATTGAAAAATTTTAGTAGCTAACTGTTCCTTTAAAATAAGCTTTAAGGAAAGTTTAATTAATTACAAACATGCTTTGCAGTATATATCAGATTTATCCAACTTTCTGAGTACACTTGGTAAGTGGATCTATTTATTTATAAGTCTCATGTCCCTCATTTTTACTCCTTAGAAGCAAAAAAGAATCTTAGACTGGGTCTTCAGTTTGAACCTCAAGAAATATCTTCCTCATTATATTATGCAAAGACAGAATTGAAAATTCCTGCTATATATTATCTGCCATAAGTTCTAAGTTCTTTGATTTACCCATGTATATATACAGTATACATATATATATAGCTATAATTAAAACCAAACAAATAAATTAGAAAAATATATATAAAAGTATGGTCTTTTTGAGCAGTAATAAGGGCCCTGGAGTTCAATTAGGTCATTTTTGCCAAACTCCCCCATTCCTCAGAATCATCTGGAAGGTTTTGTTTAGCTTTTCTTTTAATACTGATTCCTGGATCACACCATATTCTTAGTTAATCTAAATACTGAAAATTGTCTATTAGTGAGATGAGTGTGGGGAAGCATTCATTTATTTTTTCAGATTCCCAATTAACTCTAATGAGGTCAGTTCCTACATAGAAGAAGTTTGAGAATCAGTGAATTTGGTCTTCTTATGGCTTCCTGGCAGAATAGCAATTTTCTCACTCAAAGCCATTATTAATTATAAAGATTCTTCTAGAAGAATACTCTTCACCCTTCATTGTTTTACAAATGTCACTTCCCGGGATTTCTGTCTTTATTCAACATAAATATGTAATAAATATAACCCATTTCTTGATTTTCTTATGCCACTGGATACTAAAATTAGTTAGATTTATTTAATGGTGGTCATAAAATGCTGCTTGTATGAACCAGGCTCACCCCACTGCTGAGGCATTCATTTAGTTTCTTCACATTTCCACTTTATACACCTACTTTTATCTTGGGTTCTAAAAGACTTTTAAAGAATGACAAATGTAGAGAGTATGGTTTATATATAGTTTGAGGTCTTGGTCAGGAAAATTTGAAGAAGCTTCTGAGATTTTATGAAACTCCAATAATTACAAATAAAATGTTGTGCATTTATATAACAGTTTTCATAATTTATAGCAAACTCTGAAAACAATTCCTAACCTAAAATCTTTAAAATTAAAAATGACAAATGAGGGGCTGGCCCAGTGGCGCAAGTGGTTAAGTGCGCGTGCTCTGCTTCTGGGGCCCAGGGTTCGCAGGTTCGCATCCCGGGCACGCACCACCACACCGCTTGTCAAAGCCATGCTGTGGCAGGGTCCCATATAAAGTGGAGGAAGATGGGCACGGATATTAGCTCAGGGCCAACCTTTCTCAGCAACAACAACAACAAAAAAAGACAAATGATACACCTACTAAGTCAAGAATAATTGGACAATGAAAACAAAGAACATATGTGAGTTTTTTACCTTCAACTTCTCAAAGTATCTTCTAATATGCATCACTCAGTCAACTAATATCACAATACCTGGTACATAATTAGTATCATATTTATTTTATTATTTCTTTTATAAACTTGTATTTAGTAAAGAAAGCATATTTTGGGGTCAGCCCAGTGGCATACTGGTTTAGTTTGCACGCTCCACTTTGGTGACCGAGGGTTCACAGTTTCAGATGCTGGGCGCGGACCTGTGCAACGCTCATCAAGTCATGCTGTGGTGGCATCTCATATACAAAATAGAGGAAGATGGTTACAGATGTTAGCTCAGGGCTGATCTTCCTCACCAAAAAAAAAAGAAAGAAAACATATTTTATAAAATAGCTTATAATAGCCACACACTATTTTAAAATTCTGTACCAGTCCTACTATACTGATTTGCAGTTACATGAGTATTCTTGTATAGTATATCTTCATTGTCTCAAACTACTCTCATTTTGAATTTTTATGTAAATCTATTAATTTCTGAATGTTTATATACTCCACTCTACCAGCACTTATAATCTTTCTCCAACACAGAGTATCAAACATATTTAAATTTCTTATTTTCATTATACTTTTCACAATCTCCATTATTTTTTTTTCATTTTTCAATCATATATATTCCTCATCTGTAAGCTGTAGATAACAATAGTATCTTCTCATAGATTTGCTGTAATATCAAATAAGTTAATACAGGTAAAGCCAGCACTATATATAATATGTAAGCTGATATTATTATTACTTCTCAATGTACTGTGAAAAACTAAGCTCAATTCCAATAGCAACAGTAGAAATGACATACACACTAAAAATACTCAATAACAAGGAAAAAAAAGATAAAAGAGCCTGCCCATGAAAGGGGAAATGTGTAATCTTTGACAACAAAGCAAATTTTTAAAAAAGCAGAGCAAAGCCCAATCATCTATAAGGTTAGAAGTCTATAACACAATATCTTATGAAGATGTAAGTTTCATATTCTATTTCTTTCCTGTAGTTACGGAAATGTTCAAAAGTCGCCTCAGCTGCCTTGAAGAGAGTAAGTTGTTTCTGAGGCATGAAGGCGACTGTCTTCCCAAAAGTCTAAGAGTAGCAGAGTGGAGTCTACCAGAGATAATCAGTGTAGCTTCACTGTCCAGAAAAGAGGATTAATAACACCTTTTATGTAAAAAGACCTGCTACTCCTGGGCTAAAACACAGAGGTGATCAGACTTTAGATTTTCAAATATAAGAAAAGATACATGACCGACTCTTGGTATAGTGATTCCTGGAAAGGATAAGGAATTGTTCTTATACAAAAAAAGAATTATCCCTGGTCTGTGAATGATCAACACCCACATCATTTATGATATAGAATCAAAGAGGATTCTTGAAGATGGAATAGAATATGCTGAGAACTAAGGAAAGCTATCCTAAGAATCAAAGTGATATCCCTAAAAGATTTTCGCTTTCAGAGAGTGAGACTATTATTCAAAAAAAAAAGTAATGGAAATAAATAACTTTCTTCTTTGAACATCATACAGACTTTGCAGGCCACTTTAGAACAGTTCTATCCATAGGAAATTTAGGTTTAGTTGCTGTCAATAGCTCGTCAATG